ACTCTGCGCCGCAGCGGTTCCCCGGCCGTTCCTCAGTCTCAGGTACTCCCTCCAGACAATCCCCCGGCCCAGAAGTCCCCCCGGCACCCCTGGGCCCCAGCTGTTCCCACCAGCTACTCCTTGGGCCTCAGCTGTTCCCTCCAGACACTCCTCAGGCCCAGCAGTTCCCGCCAGCTACTCCTTGGGCCTCAGCTGTTCCCTCCAGACACTCCTCAGGCCCAGCAGTTCCCGCCAGCTACTCCTTGGGCCTCAGCTGTTCCCTCCAGACACTCCTCAGGCCCAGCAGTTCCCACCAGCTACTCCTTGGGCCTCAGCTATTCCCTCCAGACACTCCTCAGGTCCCAGCAATTCCCACCAGCTACTCCTTGGGCCTCAGCTATTCCCTCCAGATACTCCTCAGGCCCCAGCAATTCCCACCAGCTACTCCTTGGGCCTCAGCTCTTCCCCCCAGACACTCCTCAGACCCCAGCAATTCCCCCCAGATACTCCTCAGGTCCCAGCCATTCCCTCCAGGTAATTCTCAGGCCCCAGCTATTCCCTCCAAATAATCCTCAGGCCCGAGCTATTCCCCCAGATAACCCTTGGGCCCCACTATTCCTGGGGGCCAAGATTGAAGTCATTCCCTCCAGATATTCCTTCAGCCTCAGCTATTCCCTCCAGGTATTTCTTGGACCTGAGGTATTCCCCAGGCTTTATCGACCCCCTCTAGAGATTCACGAAGCCCAGATACTCTATAAGCTCCAATTAGTCCTTTCAGCTTCTTCTTTTTTTTCTTTTTTTTTGAGCTGGAGTCTCAATCTGTCACCCAGACTGGAGTGCAGTGGCCGCTCCCGGCCACCGCAGCCTCAACCCGCTGGGCTCCAGCGATCCTTCCGCCTCAGCCTTCCGAGTAGCCAGAATTACAGGTGCGCGCTACCATGCCCAGCTGATTTTTGATTTATTGTAGAGATGAGGTCTTGCCAAGTTGCCCAGGCGGGTCTTGAACCCGCGGGCTCAGGCAGTCCACTCACCTCAGCCTCCCAAGGGCGCAGAATTGCAGGCTGAGCCACCGAGCCCGGCTCCCTTTCAGCTTCTTTACAAGCCCAAGCTGCACCTTTCAGATACTTCCAGGTCTTATAAACTTCCTCCAGGTCCTCCCTATGTTCAGATACTTCCCAGTTCTTCCCAGAAACTAGATGGGCCTCACACTCTCACTCTTGGAAAACCCACAGTGTCCCCACAGGCCTCAAGTCTTCCTTGAATCCAAATACTCCTGATTCCCAGGACTGGCAGAGGCCAGCTACTCCCCAGGACTCAGTGGCTCCTTCCTGTCACTCTGGAGATCCAGATTCTACCCAGACCCCAAATCCTGGTGGAGGGAAGATGCTCCCATGCCTCAGCTACTTCTGAGGCCTGGAGATCCTCCAGGTGACCCCCAAGTCAGTTACTCTCTAGGCCTCAGCTCCTCCTGCAATCCAGATACTCCTCAAGCCTCAAGTGCTCTCCCCCGGTACCCTCGGAGTTGTGATACTCCTTGGTTTCAGCTCCACTCAGAGTTCAGATCCTCTCCAGAGCGCTGCTAATCCCCGAGATCCTCCCCAGGTCCAAGTTCCGGATTCTTGACACCTCAGCTATGCCCCTGAAACGCAGCTGCTCCTTGAGCTTCAGCTTCTCACACGCCTGCCCCTCCCGGATCACAGCTCATCTCCATACACCATCTCTGCTCCTCCCCAGATAAATTTCTTCTCCAGGTCTCCTGGAGGCTCCTCCCTGACCTCAGCTACTCCCCCCAACCACCCAGCCCCGAGAACCTTCCAGGGACTCGCTCTTCCTTGCCCTCGCTCTCAAATCTTGGCAACTCCGAAGATCCCCCATATCTTCCTCCCCAAAACCCCACTTACCATCCATCCCTGGGGCTCCCCAGAAAATCTAGATCCTCCACAGAACCATCATGTCCTCTCTAGCTTATCCCCAAGCCTCAGCTACTCCCCAGCTTCCGCATCCCGCCCCAAACCACATAATAACGACCACAATGGCTTCCTCATAGCTCAGCCTTTTTCCTCCAGATCTCTTCTGGAAAGTCGTACTCCCTCCAGTTCCTCCACTGACTCCAGCTTCTCCTTCACAGGCTGCGATCATCCTTATGGCGCCACCCACTCTCCCAGTGGCTCCTGTGACACCAGCTACTCTCTCTGGCTCCTCCACACCCCCTGAGCCACGCCCCCAGACCCCTCCCTCGCTTCAGCCCCAACATAAACCGAGCTGCACCCCAGACACCCTTCTCCCCAGCTCCTCCTCAAGTCCCAGCTGCTCCCCGAGTCCCAGCTACTCCCCACGCCCCAGCTACTCCTCAAATCCCAGCTGCTCCACGGAGCCCAGGAAATCGCCCCCAAGCGTCTCCTCAGTTGCTCCTCAGGAGTCCGGAGCCGCTTTCCCGAGCTCCATAAGCGCCGCCCCCCACCCCAGCAATCCCTCCTCCCCAAACGCTCCCACCGCCACCGCGGCGCACAGAACAAGACGTGTCCCAAGACCCTTCCCAGGGACGCTTTGTGGGCAGCTGCTTGTCTCCTCAAAGGAGTCTCCGCCCGCCCCCACCCCTAGGGCCTGCCCGGATGCCCCTCCTTACCCAACACCGTGTAAGACTCAGCGGTGAAGCGGTCGCGGCCCCCACGGCCTGAGGGCATCCGCTTGGGCGATGGGATACCTCTGTGGGGGCAGGAGGTGGGGGGGGCTCAGTTCAGCCCTCACCTCCCCCAGGAGAAGGCCTCCCTCTCCTCCCCAGTCACCGAGGGAGTTTGGTCCCCCTCGGAATTGGACTTCTTCTGTACCCTGAGCCCCTGACATTCATGTCAGCACATGCTTATGCCCTTTCGCATCCGGAAGACTCCTATTCAACCGTCAGCACCCCATTCAAAGTCTCTTCTCCCCTCGTTCGCTCTCTGGGCTCCTCCAGCCCCGAGTCCCCACCTCCACCCCAGCTCTGATTCCACTGGGTTCTGTGTCCCCGAGTCGGGCTTCATCTCCCCGTACCAGAGACTCGGGGAGGGCAGGAGGCAGGCTACCTGGCTGGGGAGTTGACGGGAGACGCCGTCCGTCCCTTGCCATCTTTCTCGCGGGCCTTGATATCCTGCACCTTCCCGCCCATGGCGTCCCACTCCACGGAGAGATCGTCCACCCGCAGGTTCTGGTGGGATGTGGACGCGTCCAGGCGGAACATGAACGCTGGGGCCGCGCAGGCGTGGGAGTCACAGAGAGACACAGAGAGACAGACAGTGACCAAGACAGACCGGGACAGGGACAGAGAACCAAAAGAGGTGAGGAGACTGTGTCCGAGACAGAGAGACTGACAGAGGCTCAGAGACAGAGAGATAGACAGGCAAGCAGAAAGACACGAAGACAGACAGCACGGGGACTGCTGAGGGGACAGACCATGGAGCCGGGGGGTGGAGGCTGCAGGTTCTTGCTTGGGCCTCCCAGATCTGGAGGCATTTTCAGCCTATCACGCGACCCTGTGCTTCCGCCCAGGATTAATACTAGGAAAGGGGCTGGGCGATGGCGTGAGGGAGCAAGGCTAGACAGCAGAGGAACTTCCTACCAGAGCACGCAAAGAGGTCACTATGGGAGGCTGTAAATCTGTCCTTAGTCTTAATATCCTGTCCCCAGCTGTACAGAGGACTTACCTACTTTTTTTGAAAGCAAAAGAGAGTACGTGTGTGTATGTGTCTAAAAACTGTCCAGACACACTGGCATCAACTTCAGAAACAAAGAACAAAAGCGGGGTTATAGCAGCCATGCAGCTAAGGAAGCCACTGTGGACTGGGCTTTGAGCTTCCTGGCGGCCAAGGTAACAAAGGCCACAGGACCCTGATTAGAGGACTCTCGAGGCACATGGGTCTCTGGGGGTCTGGGACGGGGGGCCACGGAGGGGCCATGGAGTCAGGGATAGGGTGAGGGCGGGAGTCAGTCACCTGGTGTCTCCAGGGTCACCGGCTCGGAGAACTCGCCCGCCACTGCCTTGTTACAAGCCCTCACCCGGAAGTTCATGTATTTCATGTCAAACTTGAGACCTGGGGGCCAAGAGAGTGACTTCTGAGACTCTGAGCAACGGGTTAAAGCCCAACGTGTTCCACGGTCATTCCAGCACCGAGCCAAGCATGGGGGCTCACGCCTGTAAGCTCAGAACTTTGGGAGGCTGAAGCAGGAGAACTGCTTGAGGCCGGGAATTCAAGACCAGTACTGGCAACACAGCAAGACCGCCATCTCTATAAGATAAAGTTTCAAACTTTGGTCGAACTCGGTGCCTCAGTCCGTCATCCTGGCACACTGGGAGGCCGAGGCGAGTGGATGGCCTGAGCCCGTGGGTTCGAGACCCGCCTGGGCAACTTGGCGAGACCCCGTCTCTACACGAAATCAAAAATTAGCCGGGTGTGGTGGCACGTGCCTGTGGTTCCAGCTTCTAGGAAGGCTGAGGCGGAAGGATGGCTGGAGCCCAGCAGGTCGAGGCTGCAGTAGCCATGAGCGTGCCGCTGTACTCCAGCCTGGGCCACAGAGTGAGATCCCAAAAAGAAAAATAAAAATAAGCCGGGCTCGGTGGCTCAGCCTGTACTCCTGTGCCTTGGGAGGCCGAGGTGAGTGGATTGTCTGAGCCTGCAGGTTCGAGACCCGCCTGGGCAACTTGGTGAGACCTCATCTCTACAATAAATTAAAAAAATCAGCTGGGCGTGGTAGCGTGCACCTGTAGTTCCGGCTACACGGAAGGCTGAGGCGGAAGGATCGCCGGAGCCCGGCAGGTCGAGGCTGCGGTGGCCGGGAGCGGCCACTGCACTCCAGTCTGGGCGACAGAGTGAGACCCCGACTCAAAAAAATAAATAAAAATAAATAAATAAGATCTTTTCACTCCCTTTCTGTCCTTTCCTCTTTTTTTCTTTTCTTTTCTTTCATACCAATTCACTCCATCACATCCATTTCACAGTTCTTTTGTTTGTTTGTTTGTTTGTTTGCTTGTTTTGAGTTGGAGTCTCACTCTGTCACCCAGCCTGGATGATCGTTCTGCCTCAGCCCTCCAAGTAGCTGGAACCACAGGCGTGAGTCACCATGCCAGGCTAATTTTTTGATTTATTGTAGAGACAAGGTCTCACCAAGTTGCCCCGGGTGGTCTCGAACCCCTCTTGCCTCGGCCTCCCAAAGGGCTGGAATTACAGAATGAGTCACCGTGCCTGACACCTCCCAGTTTTGACATTGACCTAGATGGGTCTTTGCTGTATTTTTCTGTTTTGACAGCTTTCTGGGAATCTATGATAATTTCTTTCTTTATATTTTTTTAGAGACAGGGTCTGAGCCGGGCTCAGTGGCTCAGCCTGTAATCCCATGACTTTGGGAGGCTGAGGTGAGTGGATTGCCTGAGCCCGCGGGTTCGAGACCCGCCTGGGCAGCGGGACCTCATCTCTACAATAAAGAAAAAAAAAATTAGCCGGGTGTGGTAGCGCGCGCCTGTAGTTCCAGCTACTCGGAAGGCTGAGGCGGAAGGATCGCCGGAGCCCAGCAGGTCGAGGCTGCGGTGGCCGGGAGCGGCCACTGCACTCCAGTCTGGGCAACAGAGTGAGACTCCGACTCAAAAAAAAAAAAAAGAGACAGGGTCTGGCTCTATCACCTGGGCATTGCAGCCTCCAACTCCTGTGCCCAAGCAATCCTCCTGCCTTAGCCTCGTGAGTAGCTGAGACTACAGGCACACACCTTTACACCCAGCTCTTTTTTTTTTCTTGAGTTAGAGTCTCATTCTATTACCCAGGATGGAGTACAGTGGCATGCTCATGGCCACCGGAGCCTGGTTTGACTCTCTTTTCCTTTAAATTTAGCCGGGCCCAGTGGCTCACGCCTGTAAGCCCAGCACTTGGGGAGGCGGAGGCGTGAGGATTGCCTGAGCCCAGGGGTTTGAGACCAGCCTGAACAACAAGGGGAGACCTGGTCTCGACAATAAAGATTAAAAAAAAAAAGTTAGCCGGGCGTGGTGGCGCACACCTGCTGTTCCAGTTACTTGGAAGGCTGAAGCAGAAGGATCGCCTGAGCCCAGAAAGTCGAGGCAGCGGTGGCCATGAGTGAGCCACCGCACTCCAACCTGGGCGACAGAGTGAGACTCCAACTCAAAAAAAAATTTTTTTTTTGGTAGCAGTCAGGCATGGTGGCTCATAGTTAAAATTCCAGCACTTTGGGAGGTGGTACCACGAGGATTGCCTGAGCCCAGGGTTTGGAGACCAGCCTGGGCCAACTGCTGAGACCTCATCTCTACAACAAATTTTTTTTAAAAATTAGCTCGGTGTGGTGGTGGGCGCCTATAGTTCCAGCTACTTGGAAAGCTGAGGCGGAAGGATCACCGGAGCCCAGCAGGTCAACACTGGGGTGGCCGTGAGTGTGCATGCCATTGCACTCCAGCCTGGGCGAAGGAGTGAGACTCCAACTCAAAAAATAAAAAACAAAATTATAATAACGGGGTTCTTGCTATGTTACCCAGCATGGCCTTGAACTCCTGGCCTCAAGAGATCCTCCCTCCTCAGCCTCCCAAGTGCTAAGATGACAGGCATGAGCCACCACACCAGCCTATACTTATTTCAAAATTAAAAGTTACAACAGAACAAAACAAAACCAAAAGGCAGGCGTGCTGGGAGGAGCAGTTGGTGCAATCCTATTTAAAAAAATAAAAGGGGGTGTGTTTATTTTGATTCTCATGCAAAGGATAAACCAATGACTGTTCTCAGGGCCTCTTGGCTGGCTGGTGACATTTTCCCCCCTGCAATTAGCATGCTCGTTATTAATCATGTATGCTAATTACAGATAACTAGTGGGCTGATTACAGCCCAGGAGCAGCTAGTGCATGGTGACAGTTAATCTGTCAGCAAATCTCTCCCGCCCAAGCGTTCCCCTGGGTCAGGACAGCTTTTTAAGCTCATTGGTTTTCCCTCCTGCAGACCTTCCCTCAACCAGCTATGTGGATTCCCCAAGGTTTTTTATTTTATTTTATTTTATTTCATTATTTTATTTTATTTTATTTTATTTTTGAATTGGAGTCTCACTGTGTCGCCCAGGCTGGAGTGCAGTGGCACACTCTCGGCCACCCCAGCGTCGACCTGCTGGGCTCCGGGGATCCTTCCACCCCAGCCTTCCAAGTAGCTGGAACCACAGGCACGCACCACCACGTCCGGCTAATTTTTTGACTTCGTGTAGCGACGAGGTCTCGCCAAGTTGCCCAGGCTGGTCTCGAACCCCTGAGCTCAGGCAATCCTCCTATCTCCCAAAGTGCTGGGATTACAGGTGTGAGCCTGGCAGGAGGAGATTTTTGTCTGTTTTGGAGGCCAGCACCCAGCGACTCAGGAGGCTGAGGCACGGGGATTGCTTGAGGCCAGGCGTTGCACACCAGCCTGGGCAACATACCAAGACCCCATCTCTAAGAAAAAGAAAAAAGAAAAAAAGTGAGCAGGTAAGGGTGGCTTCACGTCCTGTGACTCATCTGTAAAATGACGGTTGATAAGCATGCCCTTGACATATAAGCATGAGGCTTAGCATATAGTGAGCACTTCAAAAGTGCTGTAATGCTGTCATCAATACCGTCCTCATTATTATTACTTTCTGATACTGCAGACCAGCCCAGGCTGCTTTCAGCCATGAACCAGGCCCCGGTGACTAAAGGTGAGACCTGTGGGCGGGGGGCCAGATGTGGCGGGGGGTCAGCAGCAGTCCGCGCTTACCGGTCAGCGTGTACTCGGTCTGCCGAATGCCCTCGATGACCATCCAGGGCTGGTCCTCCTTGAGGCGGGGCGGGCCCTCGAAGTTGGTCCGCCGGTACTCCAGCACGTAGTGGTCGATCTTGCGGTCCTCGTCCGGCATGCGCCACACCAGGGCCACGCAGTTGTCCGCCACCCGGGACTCGGCCAGGTCGATCACGGGGGCGCCGGGCACTGCCCGGAGCCGAGGGAGGCGGGGTCAGGGTCCTGTGCCCGCCCCGCCCACCCACATGATGGACAGTCGTGGGGGCGGGGCCTCTGGATGCTGGGTCCCCGGGCAGGGCGCCCTCAAGGTTCCACTGAGGGGCCGGGGGTGTGGCGGAGCCTTCGGGACTCTGCCATTCGAAGGCAGAACTTTCCAGAATTCTCTACCAACTGGGGGCGTGGCTTCCTCTGAGGCCCCATCATGGGGGGAGGGGTGTTCTCCCAGCCCAGTTCCTCTGGGAGGCGTGGCCTTCTGGGGGCGCCACCATTGGGAACACGGGTTTCTCAGGCCAGCCCTTGGTGGGGGCGGCCTTCTCATGGCTCCACCCAGGGGCGGGGCTTCCCGAGGGCGCCACCCCCAAGGGGGCGTGGCAGTCTCATGGCTCCTCCCAGTGGTGGGGCTTCATAAAGATCATCGCCCCCAAGGAGGCGTGGTATTCTCATGGCTCCACCCAGGAGCGGGGCTTCATGAGGATGCCAACCCCCAAGGGGGCGTGGTCATCTCGTGGCTCCTCCCAGGGGTGGGGCCTCACGAGGCCACCACTCCCTATAGGGCATGGTATTTTTTTTTTTTTTTTTGAGTTGGAGTCTCACTCTGTCGCCCAGACTGGAGTGCAGTGGCCGCTCCCGGCCACCGCAGCCTCGACCTGCCGGGCTCCGGCGATCCTTCCGCCTCCGCCTTCCGAGTAGCCGGAACTACAGGCGCGCGCTACCACACCCGGCTAATTTTTTTTGATTTATTGTAGAGCTGAGGTCTAGCCAAGTTGCCAGGCAGGTCTCGAACCCGCGGGCTCAGGCGGGCCTTCACAAGGATTCCACCCCCAATGGGGCGTGGCATTCTCACCCAGGGGCGGGGGCACAAAGACTCCACCCCCAATAGGACAAGGTATTCTCACGGCCAGGGGTGGGGCTTCATAAGGACCACAGCTCCAGTGGGGCGTGGCATTCTCATGGCTCCACCCAGGGGCGGGGCTTCACGAGGACGCCAGCCCCCTGTGGGGGCGTGGTCATCTCATGGCTCCTCCCAGGGGTGGGGCTTCACGCGGCCTCCACTCCCTACAGGGCATGGTATTCTTGCGAATTCATTCAGGGCGGGCCTTCACAGGGATCCCACCCCCAATGGGGCGTGGCATTCTCACCCAGAGGTGGGGGCACGAGGACTCCACCCCCAATAGGACATGGTATTCTCACGGCCAGGGGTGGGGCTTCATAAGGACCACAGCTCCAGTGGGGCGTGGCATTCTCATGGCTCCACCCAGGGGCGGGGCTTCACGAGGATGCCAGCCCCCGAGGGGGCGTGGTCATCTCATGGCTCCTCCCAGGGGTGGGGCTTCACGCGGCCTCCACTCCCTACAGGGCATGGTATTCTTGCGAATTCATTCAGGGCGGGCCTTCACAGGGATCCCACCCCCAAGGGGCGTGGCATTCTCACCCAGGGGCGGGGGCACGAGGACTCCACCCCCAATAGGGCATGGTATTCTCGGGGCTCCACGCAGGGGTGGGGATTCATGGAAACTCCATCCAAACAGGGCATGATCTTCTCATGGCTCGGCTCCCGATACAGCGTGGTATTCTCAGGGCTCCACCCAGGGGCGGGGCTTCACCAGGACCACAGCCCCAGTGGGGCGTGGTATTCTCATGACTCCGCCCAGGGAGGGGTTTCACCCGAACCCCACCCCCGGTGGGCGCGGCATTGCCATGGCTCCACCCCAGGCGGGGTCTTCCTTCCTGGGATTCAAAAGTCCCGGCTCAGGGCCTCCCCGCCTCCCTGGGCACTGCCCTGACGCCCGGGCGCTGCAGCCAGTTCCTCTCTCACCCGGCAGGAACTTGAGCGCCTGTAGCATCTGCCGCTCCTGTGCAAAGTCCACCATGAGGTGACTCATGTTGTCGCTGACCTTGGCTTTCAACGACAGCCGGAAGGCTGGGGCCATGGTCACGCTGCAGGGAAGGAGACAGAGGCAGCCTGCGGGCAGACGTCTCGGGGGGCCCGGGCCTGGTCATCTACGGGTCAGGGGAAGGCCCTTCTCCCCTAGGCTCTCGTCCAGGACTCTGGGCTGCGGCACCCTCCTCACTGGGCTGTCCCCACTGTCCCGTGGGCCTCTTACCCGTCTTTGATTTGCTTGGCAGCCTGGAGAGGGGGACAGAATACGATTCAGAGACTTGTCACTACCGAAGCACAGTTCCCCAGCACCGGGGGAGAATCCCTGGTCTTTCCTCCTGCTCATCTGTGCCCTGGAGAGACAGGACAGCAAAGCCAGGCCCCCGCCCTCACCCCCACCACCTGCCCAGTGCCCAGGACATGCGGTAAAAATACAGGGCGCCCAGTGAAACTGGCATTTTGGATAAACCACGAGTAGGGTCCATGCACTATTTGGGATATATTGATAGTAAAAAAAAAAAAAAATCACTGATAAATTTGAATTTCAAATCAATGACAACCCCTTTCTTGGGGTGTCCTGTGCCATCTTGGAAATATACTTATGCTAAATATCGCATGGGTGGGTCATACTTATGCTACTTGTTCACCTATAAATGCTGATCCAGAGAGCTCTGGTGCGACCATGGCTCACCCTAGTCTCCACCTCCTGGGCACAGGCGATCCTCCCGCCTTGGTCTC